TGAGCCAGACCAACTGTATATTTAACTAGTTTGTAAGTGGTACTTAAATGGAGTGTGGAACAACATACAGAGAGTTTGTAATAAAAGCACAAATCCAGCACATTATATTTCATCCTTATTCTTTTTACTAACGGACAACAAATAAGTTTAAAAACATCACAAAGTGATTTCCACTAGAATTACGCCACACTTCGTTAATTTAGTGTTATTAAATCCTCTAACAATCATGAATGTGCCGGGTATTAACACCCCCCTTCATAAAAAGTGCTTTGTTCCACCTCATTTCGTAAATATGCAGTACTGTAATTAATTATGTGTTTCCAGTCAAAGTGTAATAAAACTTTTCACATACTAGGTTAGCGCTTCTCACCATGAAGACAAGAAAAAAAAAACATTTTATTTGTGATAATTTAATGTCTGAACCCAACAAGTGTGTGCTATAACTACTTTTGCAACACCAACCTCTCCACGGCTGGCCATAACGTACGTGACCATAATTTTCATGCAAATATTGAACACCTTTCTCGAAAAATTAGGCATCCACGCAGAAATTTGTCTTATAAACTTGCATGAAATACACGTAAAGTAGGTATCAACATGTGGCTCTAAGGGTGCATTATTCAAACAGTAATGTAATGAGATCAGCTGTAATACATATTTATCATTTCAAAGCTGTTTTTCATTATAAAATAATCGGTTTGAATTCCGTGTATATTGATGTGTTTTCTTCATTCTAGAGACTAGGCAGTCTATAACGCCCATCTTTACGCTGTTGAGGTGATTTGATTTATGGTCGAGGTATTTACCAATTTGAATTTCTATAAAATCGGTGGTTTATAGGTCTTCGTAACCATTACACCTAGAAATGCGAGTTTTTCTTCCATTTTGATCGTTAGTATTTAGCATCAATAATGCAAGAAGTAACAAATTAGTAATTAGATTTAGGTGACCGATATCTGGTCATCCCACCCTTACCGAAAGTACTCTTTAACCAATTTATGCTCAGTTCTTTACTGGAAACGTGCCATCCACCACTAATATGCTACGCAACTACGACAGTCCCCTTGGCCGAATCCTGCTACAGAAAGTAGCAAATAACTACACGATCTTAACTGAATTTCCCATGTTCAAAAGTTAAACTATAGAGAAAAACTTTAAATTTCGTAAATATCAAAGATATATTAAAGGAGAATGGGATATGTGGCACCTGCATACCACGTGACTAGAAGAAATAAAATATTTCACGCCACAATTTTACATCTACTACTCCTCTTTGAAAGTCTGTGAGCTTATTTTCGTGTAGCATCTTGATTACTGCTGGCAGTTGGTGGGTTTCATGAGATAGGACAGTTTCTGTGCTAGCTAGATGGGTGCTATCTCAGTAACTTTCGTTGGTTACAGTGTATCGGATCACGCAATTTCAAAATATACAAGCTAGATTTGAGCCTTTCAATCTCTGGCAGTTCGTGAACCTCATAAAATATGGTCAGTTTCATTGCTAGCCAGGTGGGCGCTGTCTCAATACCTTTCGTTGATTAAAGCGTATTGGATTAAGCAATTTCAAAATCTACCACTGAGATATCAATTTTTCAATCTGTGGCATCACTTACTGATAGTGTTTTAATAGCACTACATCATTATTTACATATACGTAAATTTGTGGATTTAAATTTGACCAAACTTAAGTTGCAGACAAGAAGCTTTTAAAGTTTTATGAGGTGACACCTTGTGACTAAAATCAGACTTATCTATAATGTTTACTTTTTAAATATCACACACAGGTTAAATAGGACCATTTAAGTTTTGTGGTTATTACTGATAAGTTGCAGAAGACCGATTAATCATCTTGGTAAACTGCATCTAAGTCCATGGAAGTTTGAGGTAATCTTGCACTGGAGGTCCCACATGGTTCTTTGTTAATTTTGTATCTTTAAACCATGTACAATCAGAAAATGGAGTATGCCAAACTGGCACCTTTGGGCATTTTTAAATTATGGCTGGTCTCCATGGTAATCCTTCCTCTCATTTCAAGCATAATTGTATAGATAGATCTTATGGCAAGTCTGACAAGATAATTCTGAATTTTTTTTAAATGAAACAAAAGAATAAATCGTAAAAGAAAAAATGTGATTTTGAAGTATATGAAGATACAAAGTTTGTGTGACAGTACACAGTGTAACTAGGGTCATCACAAAAGTTTCCGTCTATATTCAAATGCAAGTTATCATCTCTAAGATTGCTTGCTTCAATACTATTTTGTGATTTTTTATATTGTGAAATTGAGATTGGCTGGTTTGGATTAGAGCAGGCACTAACTTTATGAAATACACACTTATTCATGATGTTTGTGTTATGAAAATATATTAAACATCAAGTTAGGATATGGGGGTATACTTACTAAATGCTTAACCTTAACTAGATCTACGCTTTGAAAAGTTTCAGTTGAAGTTAATATACATGCCATTCACTCTACTCAATACAAGTTCTTCAACTTGTTATAACAAACAGGATATTGATTATTTTAAATGCAAGTTTAATTTAGAATTTAAGAACGTTATAGTAAATACAAGTTTGTCAAGCACTGATAATACCTGTTCTTTATATAGTCTTAGCTGATTAGTTACTGTTTATTTATATTTTACTGCAATTTTTATCAGACTTGCCATAAGAGTATAAAATATGTCTCCAATCAATAAAACAATGCCACCAGTAGATTTATTGCACCCAAAAACCTATAAATGGACAGTTTATTGATCATTTTATCACTTGTAGTTGCTGAGATATGACCTTTTTTGTATCTATACAATTATGATTGAAATTGTTCCAGATTTGGTAATTTCTGATTGTATGTGGTCTGAAGATACAAAATCAGCAAACAATGTCACTGGGACCTCCAGTGCAAGGTTAGGCAAAAAAAAAAAAACTAATTTTGGCTGCCATACTATCTGTTACAGATAAATCAGACCATTCTGCAAAAGTAGCCTTTTACAATATTCTAAGAGGCATGTATTTAATAAGTTTTCTGTTCTTGGATTAAAACACAAACAAGTCATAACTAGTAAAAACCAAACCAAAGCTATATCAACGTACTTGAAACATCCTAAACAAATATTTTAAACCAGATGTAATGGGAGCAACCTGATATAGAAATTATGCAACTGTAAAAATTCTATGAGGATTGGCCAAATATTACATATATAGAGATCAGCATTTAGATCAGTGTGTGCAACGTATATAGATCAGCATTTAGATCAGTGTGTGCAATGTATATTGATCAGCATTTAGATCAGTGTGTGCAATGTATATTGATCAGCATTTAGATCAGTGTGCAACGTATATAGATCAGCATTTTGATCAGTGTGCAACGTATATAGATCAGCATTTTGATCAGTGTGTGCAACGTATATAGATCAGCATTTAGATCAGTGTGTGCAACGTATATAGATCAGCATTTAGATCAGTGTGTGCAACGTATATAGATCAGCATTTAGATCAGTGTGTGCAACGTATATAGATCAGCATTTAGATCACTGTGTGCAACTTTGTAGATGTATTTTCACTGTTCAATAAAATACACATAACAAAGTAAAATGGTGCAACATCAACACTGTTCAGTTTTCTTAAGCATGCTACATGTTGAAATATTCTTTGCATTTTAAACTTCCATTGCTTCACTTTCACTGAGGAAATAGTCAATTTTACCATCCAGAGAATCAATGATTTTATTGTCTTCCTGAATTATTCCCTCTTTCTTTTATTTGAAAACTTTCAAATATTACAGATGGTAGATTTTATAAGGGCTGTAGAGGGAAAAAAAAAAACCTTTACAATTATAAAATCTGTTCTGAACCAAGATAAATTTCGTTCATGACACAATGACTTCAGTGCTGCTATCCAACAAGAACACAGAGACTTTGATCCACATGATGCAAAAACCAATTTGCATCTCGAGCATTGTGGCTGATCCAGTATGATGAAACATTTGTGATATGTTGTAACGAATGTGTTAACTTTTGCTAAAAGAGCTGCAATAAACAGTGCTCGTAGCACTAACTGATTTGAAAACTTTTTTCTACAAATTGCAAATTATTTCTTAGCAACAATAATTACACAAATGTTTTTTTTTTCTTGCTTTATTCACATTTGGTTAGTCTTCAAGTAACTGTACATTCCAATGAAGTACATTTTACTTCAAAAGGGACTTTTTCTACTCACTAAACACATTTTAATGAACTTAATTGTTTTTATCAATGAAGAACAATGAAAGTCAATGACATCTATTAGAATGAATATAATAAAAGCATTATGTTTCAGAGGAGAGTTTAGCCAACTTTACCAAATGAGCAAAAGATAAATGAGGTTATTTCCACAGAAAGCAGATTTTCCAAATGATTAAATTTTACGAGACTATCTTGCGGCTGATTTTCTAAAATTCACTGTTAAATCGTAGTTGTACAGAAAATCTGTCACTCAAATGATTAATTACTCTTTCATTAAGTTTAGACTAACTTTCAATAATAAAGTTCTTTAACTGTCACATTAAGAAAAATAAGTGAAGTATCCATTTAAGTTAGCCAAACTATCGTATCAATAGTTTCCTATAATATATTGTTCGTTCCAGAAATGAAGAACTTCTATAAAATTTCTGCACTGTTAATAATTATTTTTTTACTGTTATAGTTAATAACATCATTTTGGTAACTTTTAAATTATTTCAAAATAACAGAAAAAATGTTTACCAAATGTAGAAATGTTTATAGGTATCTTTTTTTTTATATATTCATGCACATTGCTTTTAACTAACATGTTTAAGCTCTACAAAAAAAAGCTAAAATGTCAAAATGTGGCAATGTATGTAATCACATTCATGCAGTGTTATTGAATACATATATTAATTATATTACTTCAAACAACAGTAATGTATTTCGTACATTTATTAACTCAAAATACATAAAGTGTAACTTGAATTAGTAATAAAACTTACATATGACAAATAAATGTTCATGTTGTAACCCATTTATTTAAGATTTAAAAGTCAACAACAGGAGTAACTTCACTTCACAAGATTTGTCCATCACTGAAACTCTTTTGAAGAAAAGTCATAGTATCACTTTTCCCAAACAGTAATGATGATTTTACATACTTCAAGACATGGATGCTTCTAGCTCTGATGCTGACATTTCTGGCTCCTCATCATTATAAATATTCTCAGCCTAAGTTAAAATTAATAAAAACTGTTGAGGTAAACACTTTGAGGAATTAAAAACAAAATTAATCTCTCTTTGCACGCACAAAACAAAAAAACTGAAAACAATGTAAAGTAGTAGTATCCATGTCTGTCAAATATTACATTTCTGGAAAAACATTTGAATAGTGACATCTTTTTAAAAATCTATTGATTCTTATCGGTGATATTTCTTTCATAAGAAATCACAGAAGTGAATTTATTTATGCAGATATAATTTGTTACATATTCCTATCAAGCTGATTAAATTCAGTGAAAAAATTGTTTCAAAATTTCATTCCATTGACATATTCATGATGAGTATGATTATAAATAAAATTTGAAAGCTTTGAATATATCATTACACAAACTCTAAAAATCTGTTATATTTTGAAAATAACAATAGTTTTTGGAACCACTAAAAAAGACAATAAAAGTTGATCACTTACCAAACTTGCATTATATTATCTTTATAAACTGTACATATAACCCAAGGTTCATTAGGGTTCCATGAAAAATCTGAGATCTTTGCTGTGTGGTCTCCATGAATGAACTAAACAAAAGAATGTATTAATGTTGCTAATATGTTTAGAAAGAGACTTAAAGCCCTGTATGGAGTAAGTATTAGAAAATATACAAACCTTATTGTTAAGTAACAAGTTTTCCATGATTAACATACTTAAATCTTTGCAATTACAAGAAATTTATTGAGTAGAAGCAAGAAACAATGCAACTGTCATACATAAGCTAAAACACTATATTACCAGACTATTCTGTACTTTTATATTGAGAAAACTGAAGATGAAGAGGAGAGCCCACTTTTAGTCGCTAAATTACAGACACAGGTGTGTGTTATTCACCCATATTTAATGTTGTTTCAAGGCATAAGTGTACAATTTTATTATTAAAAACAAAACTCTACACTGTCTTACAAGAATCAGAATACATGGTAGTGTGTCATGTGACCAAAACAACCTGTAAGACACACTGCATTATTAAAAGGAGTGATAGTTTAGCAAATTTTCCACTTTCTGTAGCTCAGACTGTGGTAATCCAAAATATTACATATTTTTAGTGAATGTGATCTACTGGACCCTTAGTTCACAAACCAAATATCAAGGCATTCTATTAAGAAATATACAAGATATAAAATCTCCAATTTTGATTGAATTCACCCCCCCCCCCCCACACCTCATGGTCTTTCTTTGGGTGCTTCCTAAAGGGTGATAATTTTTTCACCAGCCCTCTACCATTATAATGTGAGATTCTAGCTATTTTAAGAGAGGAGATAAGATATCGTATCAGAAGTTAACATTTTCCTAAACTGAAAATGTATTTCCAATACATACATTTCTCACCCAGCCTTCCCACTTCCGGTAATATTTGGTGCAAGTCTTCTGACCAATCTCAGAGTGATTAACGAGTGCAAATGTTGAGAGGGCATCTGGTTACAATAGGGGTTGTGTCATGCTCATATTGGTATAGAGCTGCTGCATAATCATTTACATGTGGATATCCTGAAGTACGAGGTGGAAGGCTAGTGGCGAGCATTAAAAATTTGTGCTGATAGACAGCAGTACTAATCAAGAAAAGCTACTTTGTGGGCAGAGGAAAGATATTGTATTAGAAGTTACAGGTATTGTTCATACTAAAGATGTGACATGCATGACCTTAAGCTAAGAGAATTTACTGTATGGTGATGCCATGTTAAACTGTGATCACCTCTGAATTTTGATGAAACATATTGTGGAAATTTCTTAGTTAATCTGTTGAATTACTACAAGAATACTTTACTTCATTCACTCGTGAAAACCTGTCAATAATATATAAGATACCACTGGGTAATGTTTTCAGAAAGTACAAGTAATAATATGGAATTATTGGGGTATAGCTTTAGTCCTACTACTGTTCCTGTATTATGAGAACAGTTGCCTTGAAGGTCAGCTCCTCCAATTTTTACTAATTAGAACACAATGGAGCACAGTATAGAAAACATTAACCTACACTACTCATTTCACTAACATACAAAAAAAACAGTTATATTAGATTCTTATTCCAGATTTGAGAAAGTTGAGTTTTTCAAAACTTTTACTTTGGATCAGTTTTATACATTTGATATAGACAGCATGGTCACAAGTAAATAAACACCACCTTTTCAGAAAAAATGAAATTTTTCAGTCATATTCACATGAATTGATATATTT